CTTCCGATCACTTACTTCAGTTGCAGCTGATTTAGACCCATATGATGTTGCTTTGGAGGAATCTATAATTTCTTTCTGCTCTTTTCCTGTGGTCAGCATCGACTCGGTACCTATGCTGCTAATGGAAGAATTCTTCAACATGGTTGATCGAATTTTTTTGCTGTTTGGCTTCCCTTTTGGTGGGACAGGACAATGCATACTACATACTGACAAAGTCTCAGACAATGATGCTCGGCTGGAGTTTGACATCTTCACACGAAGATTTGTAGTTTTTATCTGCCTTGATTTTGAAGATTGAGATATGTTTGATTGTGAACACCTATCATCACTTTCCTGGGATATCTGTGTCAACAAACATTTATCTTTTACTTCTGACTTTGAAGAGACTCTTGAAGAGACACTTGCAGGATTTCCATTCCTAATCCCAGTCTCAGTTGAGAGGTCACCTTTTGAACATACACTCTCACTCATACTTCCGTGTCTTGAAGAAGGGGCCTCTGAATTCATCTTGGAATGACCCTCTCCAGCTTTTCCATTAGGGCTTGAAACACTTGAGCAGAGGGATGATGGCTTGCTATTTTCTTTTCTATGGCTTCTCTTCTTTGAGCCTTTTGAGGATTCACTGTAGCCATTGGCGATACTTTTCAAGCTTTTCTCCTCAGTAAAACCTGCAATTGCCTCTGCTTCACTAGTAGATGAAATGTTTGAGTGAAAAGATCCTGAGTTATGAGACATGGGGTCTCCGATAGATTTTTTCTTGATTTCACATGAGCTTTTGGAGTAATAAGATGCCCTGCTGCATGATCTCAGATCATCTGCATGTAGGGAATTCTTTTTATTCAGAGTGGATTCAAGTGAAGACACAGACATTTCAGACTGTGCATCCAAATGAATATGGCTGTGTTTGCTCTTTCTGGATCCTCTGGAAGAGCAAGAGGCATTGCACAGAACAATTTCATCACTGTCACTTCTCCTGCTGTTCTTGTCACTAGCTCTGGAATGGGGGGTTCCTTGTGTAGAGCATCGTTCACCTTCACTGCTCTCATCTCTAATTGATTGGCTGGGCTTTGTTTTTGCTGACACTGAGCTGACTTCATTGATTTCATTTTCTTCTTTTTCCACTTCAACCTCTTCAGCCTCTTTCTTAGAGCAAGACTCACTGGAGGCCACTGCACTGTCGTCAGAGTGGTCATCCTGTTCACTCTTTGCTCTTGGTGCAGTACAGTTACTAGACTTGCTGTGCACACTGTTGGCAGGAGTGGAGCACTTAGTGTTATCTTCTTGATTTGCCTTCTGAAGGCTGGAGGAGGACATGCTCCTACCCACGCTACTTGTTTCCTCACATACATTCTTCTTGCTCTGTCTGGACTGCAGAGATGACCTTGACATGACACTCCCAACTCTGCTGCTTTCAACCTCTTCCACATCATCCTTCAAGTACTTCACAGAGGAAACTTCAAAACAATTTTCATCTTCATTTTGTGAATTGGTCTTGCTAGCCTCATGGTCTTCAGGGACGTCTTGAGTATCCAGGTTGTTTTCACAGCTTGAATGTGACATTAAGCCCAGGGATGAAGGTCTCTGACTATTGCTCGTGCTTGTCCGAGTGTGCTCTTGCTGGTCTTCTCCATTGGAAGCACCTGTAGACAAATCACTTCGACACATACACTTTTTAGTAGATCGATATGCCACTCTGTTCTCTATAGTCTCTGAGTAGGATGAGGACTCTTGCACAATGTGCTCAGAGAATTCCTCACTGGATGTGGTGTGGAGGCTATCCACTGAAGCCATTTTTTTGTGGACTACTCTCCTCCGGGAAGATGTGCTGGAGCATGATGACCGTGTGTGCCAGGTGTTTCGTACACTGGGCTCTTCCCTCTGGGATGTGTGCATGGGATTTTTCCAAATGTCGTAGTCCTGGTGTTTCTTGCCACAGCTATGACAATGAGCCTCATCACATTCTGATTCCTCAAGTTTTGACATGTAAGAATCAATATCACAGGGATATAATGACTCATCTGCCTCTGAGCTGGCTTCTGGGTTCATTTTCTGTATGGGGTCTACTCCACTGTCCTCCTCTACACCTGACTCTTCACAAGGCATTTGGTTCATCAGATTGGACTTTTTGATCTGGGTGGACCATTGCAAAGTCTCATCATTTAGCAAGCGGAAGCGAACTTTCATCTCAACAGACAGGCTACCATCCTTGTTCACATGCACCCGTTTTTCTATGTCGTCATTGACCAAGGAATGGACCAGGTCTCCAGGTTTTGGATGCGAGCAACTGTTTGAGAAAGGTGCGCCATTATCCGGTGAGGCAGCGAGACCATTAGGATATGACTTTTCTGATGATAAAGAAAATCTCATTGACCTATTGCTCGATGATGACCGTGGATGGATAACACTTTTTTTGGCTTTCAGTCCAAAGTTCACTGGAGTTTGAAATAGGTAAAGAAAAAAAAGTTGGAGAGAAACGTCAACTTATATAAAGATGACACAAAATATATAGATCAAACCCTCAAACTAGTGAATACTGATATTATTCCATTAAAGCTAAGCCTATGCTGGTTTACATAATTGGAAAATATGGCTTTGACTAAGTGATGGGCATAAATGTTAAGTTTTGAATGAATAGTCTGTATTAAAATCTTCTATACCTTAACTTTATTGTACTTCTAAATCTAAATTGAAACACAAAGACTTTTTTTGTTGTATTATGGGCATGCCAGGAAGGGAAAAAAAAAAAAAAAAGCAATTTAGTCTCAAAGTTTCTGTATTTTATCACATTGCAAATATGCCTTTATTTAACTGCACAAGTTTTCATCCTTCTTATTCAGTTGGGGAAAAATACATGGAGAAGTGACCCTCTTCCTTAGTTAGAGGTCAAGTGTCACACATTTTTTGTGCATCATCCACTTCTCTACTCACATGCCAGGTGTGGCTGTGTAGACTCGAGCAGCATTCAGTCCCTGCAGAGATGTGCCACTATGAATAATTATAATGCTTATTAAAACATAAAGAACAAATGGAAAAGGAATTGTAAGCTGGTGTAAGTTACAAAGAGAAATAGTGGTAGTTATAGAGGATAGTGTATATCAGTGATAGTAAGGGAATTTTAAGAACTGTAATCTGAAGCACATCTTATGGCTCAGTGCAGTGATCTGCATAGATTTATTGAGGTCCTAGACCCTTCATTTCAAGCAGTGTATATTGCTATCATGCTGTCTTGCAAGATACGCATCTATCTTGTTTCTAATACATACGTTTGTTCAAAGCTTACTTTTATATATCTAGACATTCTTCTGTAAGCATACGGATACGCAGCTGAATGGAGGGCATTTTAGGAAGGAAGTGTTGAACCAGGAGCCCACCAACCAAGTTCAGTTACACATGAAATAGCTTCTAGCTAACCATCCTTATGCATTTGAACTGAACTATTTGCTCAGTCTTTTGATGGACAAAGCTTCAGCTTATTCCCACTGCTTCCTCCAATTTTTTTATGTCTCAGGCAGTGAGTGTGGGATGCCCCTGTCCTTAATCTTCTACAACTAGCTGTCAACACGTGAATAAATCTTTCCTGGCTCCTGGTATTGACAATGGAGAGAAACACCTCCAGAGCACACTTAGTTCACCCTAAAACAAACACCTAACATAGGGGAGATGAATTGCCCTCTAGAAATGGGAAGTTTCTCTCCATAGGCTACCGCGGGTGGCTGGTTTCATTACCTGTGACCTTAGATAATTCGCGATGAAGTGCCTGAATACCGCATAACACACTCCTTCCTGAACATAACCTTTCCATAAAAACATGCTTTGTTCCCCAGGGGCTACTCTGCAGCTGTAACCTGTGGGAGAAACTGAGTCTCCTGCCGACAAAACCAGGGCATCCTCTGATGCAGGCAAGTGCAGAAGTGCAGGCATTACATGAGAGACAGACAAGGGGACAGAGGATTCGTGGGAAATCTCAAGGGTTTGGGGAGACTCGGAGACAGACACAGGAAAGGAGGGAGTTCTGGAAGGAAAAGGAGACACAGAGATATGAAAGAGGAAGGGAAGTCAGCCAGACACGGGGAGCATGTAAAAGAAAGACTGGAGGGTGTAGGGAGGAAATCCTAGAAGGAAACCAGAGAAAAAGAAGGGGAGGATGGAAAGGCCTGGGAGGCAGAGAGAGGCAAGTACATTTTGCACACGAAATCTGCACAATAGGTGTCTGAATCTCCATGTTGTGGGACACAGGCCTGGAGACGCCTGTGCAATACGCCCCAGAGTTTTTCTTACTTTCATTGTTTTCATTGACGTTGTTGCCATTGGAACGGGGAGCCAGGTCGGGCAGCTTCTCCACCGAGTGTTTCCTCAAATTCTCCATCGATACAGGTTTAAATGGCTCCCGGCCGACACACACCAGCACGCTGGGGCAGTGAAGCAGAGCCTGCATGCTGTCGATCTAGAAAGAGAAGAGCAAGTGGATCGCCATGAGCCAATAGAGCAGAGCTAGATTCTTCCAAACCCAGAATTAACTGACATTTAGTTGTCACCTAAAATAAAATAAACATGGTTCTGGAGAACTTCAGGTTCTACCAGAGCCTGTTGGCTCTGTTGCAGTATTCTTCCATTGAAAGAGAAGCTCTGCTGTGTTTTAATCAGCTTTCCTAAGATAGGGAAGGGGTGGGAGAGATTGCCTAAAGGAGAAGATATCTCATTTATTACAAGGTTTTACATGTTCTGGGAAAGATTTAGGCATAATCAATGTGGTCGTGAGGAAGGGGGTGGAACTGGAGGCTTTTCAGGTTCCCTTACAGAGAAGTATACTCCTTAATTCTTCCTGTATGGGACAGCAATTATTACCTTGTAAATGCTACATTCCAGATTGACCATTAGTTCTCTTCCTTCCTCTGCTCAGGAAGGAACAAGAACTGTGACTTCCCCTAATATTATAGTCGTGATGAGTATTACCTCAAATACTGTCTCAAACATTACCTCAAGTACTGCCACAATGCTGGACAATGTGGGACATTGTCCCTCAGTGTGGGAAGTGTCTGTGAAGCACTCTCTGTTCCTCCATGAGAACGCAGGTTTACACACTGCCTCTTCATCTTCACCGCAGATGATCCAGACTTGTTTCTGGATTACGCACCAAGTCCTTCATATCAGCTGCAGCTAGTAACAGGGAGCAGGGCTAGACGTGGTAGAAAGTAACTTCTACCCGAGTACAATATTTACCTAGGATCTAAAGGAGCAGGAATCAGTCTTGTGATGAGCACTGGCTAGACAAAGCCTGGACCCCTCTCTTCCATCTTGCTTCTGAATCCCTTATTTGTGAGACTGAAGTTAAGCTCCCAGGTAAACCACTTGTTGGCTTCTAAAAGGATGAGAGGGCTCTCTTGCTGTCTCAGAGGGCTTTAGAGTGGCCAACATCTGGCAGCTTTGTGCTGTCAGGGGTCTCCACAACCCAGCTAGGATGTTCCTTCCTCCTCAGACTTCTACATCAGGAGAACATCTCTAGAGCATATGGGGACTCACCAATAAGAGGTGACCATACAATGGGCTACCAAGATGTTAGCTAGCACCCGTGGTGGGCTGAGCGCTGTCTTGCCCATAAGATACACCCTGACCTCACTGTGTCACTTAATCATCAGCCCTTTAACTAGCAACCAAGTATGGAAGAGAACAAATCTCAGGGCAGCTGTGATGACAGTCCTGCAGTTGTCACACGTGCCTGACATAACAGAGCATGAAGAAAGGACCTCATTCTCTAAATATTGCTGTAGCAAAGGAATGAAGAATCAGGTCCCCTTCAGAGCCCAAGCCCTTAGTTTGTGAAATGCCTCTGGGGTTTTCTGACATTAGTTAGTTCCTAGTTCCACTAGGGCTTTGAGAGGTTCTAAGATAATAGTGCTGGATCTTGTGCAAATAAGAGGAGGGTGAATGTGTGGAGGGTGAAAGAACAAGACAGAGACAGATAGAATCACACTGAAGATCCAGTTAAACACTTCTGGTAATTTTTCTCACAGTAAAGCATATGGCATCAACTTTTTAGTGGGAATACACTAAAATCGCATCGTCTTCCCATAATTTTTTATTTACTGTTTGCACTATAACGACACTTGAGACCTGAGGCCCATTGAGTTTGTTGCTATAAAAACCCACAGTAAGAGAGGCTCTCCTCTCTAAAGCTTGCATTAAGCACCACTGTGTGCAAGGCAACAAAACTGCTGAGTCTATGTGATGAGTACCATAAAACAGAAACGGAAAATAACCCACAGCTCTCAGTCTATCTATGTCTACTGCTTGTCATTTGCCAATAAATCCACTTTGGGTTCATATATTTCTAAAGGAAACATCTTTCTAGCTCACTGAAAAAGTGTATAGAAAGCCCATAATTTAATAAATGACAATACTTTGAGTAGGTTTTTGCCACCTATATATTTCTTTTCCTTCTTTACTTTCTTGTTCTTTTTTCTTTTCTTTTTTATTCCTTTAGTGAGATCTTTTGCTGTGTCCTCATACAAGTAGAAAAAAGGTGAGGGTAAAAAAGGAGAAAGAGAAAAAGAGAGAGAGAAGAGAAAAATAGACATGAAATCTCTTCCGACCCTAATATAAACCAATTTGTCTTTAAACCCCCACTAAGCTTAGGAACTATTCCTATTTGTAAAGGACATATTTTCAGTGAAAGCTATTTTACCCAGGACATTTCCTCACACGGTACAGTGTCTGTATATAGATACTTCAATCACACTCATCACCGCTGCGTTGTATGTGCAGAAAATAAATGGTGCCAATGACAGAGCTTCAGGAATCAATGGAGCTGAGCCAGCCGAGTTATTGAATTTACAGATACTGCACAAACCAAGTCCTGTAATATGGAATACACTTGTTTTACGTGACTTGAAATAAAGGGTCTGTCAGGTAGTATTTCTGGCATCATCAGCTCTTTAGCAGTGTTTATACCTGTAACACAGTTTTTCTTCCTAATATCTTGCAAGATTAATCTCTCTGAATTAATAGTTGTAGAAATTCGTCTAAATTTGGGAAATCAGTACTTCATAATGCGTCATTGTTAAAAACAATTTGGTAGTTGTAAATACAACTGAATATATCCTAAGGGCTAAACAAATCATTTTTCTCACACTGATTTGGTTTAATGCAACATCCATTCTGTCAGGCCAGTACAGTGCTGTGGAGTTGGGATGAGTTCATCTCAGTTTGCTCAGCACAGACCTTTCCCACACCGCTTTATGAATCCCATCCTCTCAAAACCGAGTCACTGCCTGGGCTGTACAGAGGACATCTGGCTTCAGGGCAAACAGTATGGCATTTTTACTAGTGCTAAATTATCTCTAAACAGTATGACCCCTCTTAGGTGTTTAGCAACTTGCAGCTCACTCAGCGCGTCCCTGGATGAGGTCCATGTGTTGCTTCTTAGATTTGCTTCTTTTTAAAGAATATATAAAAATTATTTCTAATGTGAAGGGATCAGATCCTGAACCTGCAGGCATGCCAGTGACCACTGTTGCTCCTGAATGTGCTGAATGGAATATTGGCCCCATTTCAACCAGTGGCAGAATTGGCCCCATTTCAACCAGTGGCTTTTCTGGAGTCTGCATCACACTGCTTACAACTAGGAAATAACACGAAAACTGGGAGCTTTCTTTTGCTATCCTGCAAGAGAAGCGAGTCTGTTCTTCTGCTTGGACATAACAGCCACCAGACAAAGAGTTATTAGAACTTGTGAAACTGTATTTTCCATGCACTTTCTGCCATTGATTTTCATGCTGGGGGGAGGAAACAGGACATCAAACAGAAAATTGGTGAAGTGGTTTGAGAGATCAGATTGCAAGATTTGGCAATAACACCATGGCAAAAAGCAGACACAGTAGCTATTCATATTTCAGAAGCACGTGAGCCCCAGAGAAAGAGATGAAATAGTAGATCTGATTAAATGATGAGAAAATAATCTGATGTTGAATTGCTGTTCAGGATGGGTAAGAGGTGGGAATGTTCTTGCAGAGAGGACAGTGTGAATTCCAGAGTGTGGGATGATGTTTAACGCTGAGATGTGCCTCCCCGAGTACAATCCTAATCTAACTCTCAGGAATTGCCTTACTCGACAATTATTTGTTTTGGGACCTAGGCTTTATACAGTGCTTTTACAGAATCATAGAATCATTTAGGTTGGAAAAGACCTTTAAGACCATCGAGTGCAACCGTAAACCTAACACTGCCAAGTCCACCACTAAACCATGTCCCTAAGCGCCACATCTTCATCTTTTAAATACCTCCAGGGATGGTGACTCCACCACTTCCCTGGGCAGCCTGTTCCAAGGCTTGACAACCCTTTCGGTGAAGAAATTTTATAAGCAACTTCTATAAAGGAACATATTGTCATCATCTCCCTTAGATAAGTTGTGAAAAACAAGTAACAGGCATCCTTCTGTAAATGTTGAAAACAAAGGACAGGAAGATAATAACTAGATTTTGCTTCTGATTTTGGACATCTAAATGTTAGGTGTGTAAGACTGAGCTAGTCAACCAAGGCTCTATAGTCCATGTAGAAAGGGCAATTCCTGTACTCTGCATTGGATATCTCTCCTACTGTGAGACAAATCATGCTCTGGAGGTGCCTCTTTGTCCCTTGGTAGAAAAGCACCTTGAAATGATTAGGAGAGATGTAGACATCTAAACTAAGGCAGATTAACTCCAGCCAACATGACCACTTAATAGTTATCAGGAAGCATCATCTGAGCTGAATATGGAATATCAGTCTCCAGGGTCCCAGGCCTGTGTTCCTTCTTGAAGGCCATATTATTTCAATGAGTTGCTGCTATTAATTGCTATTTTAGGAATACAGTCATTATTAACTTCAGCTGTATAATATCACATGTGACATAACCCCAATGTAAGTAAGATCAGCAATAGAGCATGTTTGGCCAGACATTATAGGTCTGGCCTGAAGCAGGGGGTCTATCACTACAGTAAAAATTCAATTATTTTAAAAGACCCTTTAAATTCCTTGCAGTCAGTGAAAACCCAGGACTTTAGAGGCCATTGTTGTCTGACCTTTATTGTATTAGATTATTTATCTATTTATTTATACAGGAAATTCTATTTAAACATAAGAAAAAACCTTTTTCATTGTAAGGGTGGCCAAACACTGGAACAGGTTGCTCAGACATGTTGTGGAGTCTCCATTCTTGGAGATATTCAAAACCCAGCTGGACACCTGAACAACCTGCTCTGGTTGGCTGTGCTTTGAAAAGGGGGATTGGATGAGGTGATCTTCAGAGGCCTCTTCCAACCTCAGCGATAAAGTGATTCTGTGATTTATTGTAGGACAGGTGGTTGTTATTTTCATATAGACATCAGCCCGAGGAAAAGTGTGGTGGAACTCAAAAAGTAGAAGGTAGGTGTTCTTATCTGCCTTAGCTGTCCCAGTCAGTAGAGAAA